AAGGTAAAAATAATAAAACAAGGTCTTTGTCTGCAATGATTAGACATGTTTTTTTTATTATTGTCATTAGTGATTATCTCAATTTCGACAAAGAATTGACAAAATCCTACACACTGTGCCTTTAAGAAATTTTTACTAAAAGCAAAAACAACACATTTCCACCACAGGTACTAGAGTTTTCTGGCATTATTCTTTAGGCTAATATCAATATAGGTTATTTATATAATATMTATTACAGGGTAAAAACAATAATAGAAGACTCTGTCCAAAAGACTGCGGTACCAACAGAAACCTTTGTCCAGAAGACCTCAGAATGTGAGAAAGGAGGACGTTCACAAAGGTCTGAGATGCCTGATCAGGGTTTCCCTTAGGGTTTTTTTTAACCGTGGTAGTGGCCTCTCATGCGGGGCRGAGGGTGTAACGGGACAACAGGTTGACAAAATCTGGTTGTCCGCAAAACATTTTGGTTGTCCAAAAAAACTTTTAAACAATGTAATTTAATAAGTATGCTACATTTGTCAGGATTTGTAGRTGAGGTGAACCAAAAATGCAGGCAGGGAGGCAGACCAAACTTAAAGTAAATAAAAAGATTTTAATAAAGCAAAAAGGCCGATGTGGTGGCAAGGTAACAAAAACAAATCTAAGCTAGAAACAGGAGCATGAGGTGAAAACAAAACATGGGTAAGGCAATGGTCGGACGCTGAAGTGATGAAGAAACGAGCCTTAAATACAAACAGGGCTGTGTGGAAGTAGGAAACAGCTGGATAATTACAACTGAGGACAGGTGAGTGTGGCAGGCTGGAAACATACTAAGAAGCTGACTGAGGTAAACATGGCACAGGAAATGAGAAAATGAGACAAAACCAAACAATGAAAAACAATCTGAAAAATACTAACGAAAATAACCATAACACAAGAATCATGACATAGACCCCTTTTTAAGGAACGGCATCCAAAAACCAAAAAAAAATAAAAAATAAAAAACTCTGACTCAGGTGGGTGGAGGGGGAAACTCAAAGGACAGAGGGCAAGAAAACCAAAACAGAAGAAAACATGAACTAAAACCAACAGGAACCCTGGCAGAAAACAGTCAGTCACTAGGATGGCCCTAGGCACATCTGAAGCGGGGCAGAAAGTTCAGGAGGGCGACTGTGGTCCTGGCCGCCAAGGAGGTGGAGCTCTGGAGGACGGCCGTGGATCCGACCGCGTTGGAGGCGGAACTCTGGAAAGCGGTCTGAAGCCCGGCCGTGACGAGGATGGGGCTCAGGAGACTCTGGAGAAAGACAGGTGGAAGAAGGCTTGAAAAAGCTGCAAAGCAGGGAAGGATGGACGGGTTCTGGAGAGAGAGCAAAAAGCGTCCGACTCCTCCGAAGGCCAAGCAGAAATGTTAAAAGTAGTTTTAAGTGAATTTATTACACACCAGATGTTGAGACAAAACAACCACAACAATTTAAGAGCTCTCAGAGAAACAGCTGGACAATCTTAAGCTCACATCACCTGGAGACAGTGTGCGTCTGTAGCCCCAGCCTGTCTGAATCTGTTTCTGTARTCAAAAGCTATTATACCCATTTAGACAACGCCCAGAGCTCTGCTCTCTATTACCCCTAATTTACACTACATGCGTTCTGGCTCTGCTCTGCTCTGACCTCCGCAGCAAATACACACTTACAATAATCAATGAGAGTATTTACACTGGCTCTGCACGGCGGCGGTGAGTGGACGGCAATCCGGCAAAATTAGATTTGATCCTATTTCTGCCGGACACCGGAGCTGCGCTGGAGTCAATTTTTAAAGATTACATCGCACCAACAGGAAGAGGAACGAGCACAACATCTGTATTTACAAAATAAGACACCATCGTTTTGTCGAAATTGCAGCTATATTAATAAATAAATGGATATATTTCTACACAAATGCTGTCAGAATTTATCATTGTTTGGGAATCAGATGGCAACATGTAGATGAAGCATATGTGTACACACACGATACACG